TGGGATTGGAAAATAAGTTCAAGGACAACCCAGGCTGCTCGACTCTCAAACTTTGCAGGTTCCAAACTACTAAACCAAAATATATTCAGAACAGGCAGTTATTCAGTGGGTAAGAACACTTGCTGCCAAGTCTGATAACCTGAGTTTGATCCCTGGAAGCCCCATGAGGAGACAACTCACACAAGCTGTCCACACCATGAACACACTCACACATGTATACACACACACAAATATAAATATTAAAATACTTTAATTTAAAAAGACTACTATACAATGTATAAAACTTTATTAAAGTTGGGATTATTTACAAGCCACAATAGAAATAAAAAACTACATGGCATCAGTTTTTCTTACATAAACGTGGAAGACTCATAGCAAATAGCCATCCCTGAAAACTTTGTTCTTCCTGAACATCCCCTAACATGTATTAAATATAAATGACAAATATTTTATCTAAATAACACTAAGGCATTACCCACAGGCTACAACTTATCTAGTTGTTTCTTAGCCCTGTTATTTCAGGAATAGTTCCGCAGACATGGAAAGTGTGGCCACTGCAGGTTGTCGGGCTGTAAGGTTCACGTCAGGGGCAATCTGTCACGACCCTGATGCTCATGCAGGACACAAGTTCAAACAAGTGAATTCACCATTTTTAAGTTAAAACCAAGAGTGTAAAAGAGGAAGCAGGGCTTGGTGGCTCAAGCCTGTAATGCCAGCACTCAGGAGATTGAGGCAGGGCTACTGTGAGTTGTAAGCAAGCCTGGGTAATAAATATATTGAATTCTAGGCCAGCCTGGGCAACAGAGTGGTGCCCTGTCTAAACAATACCTGCCCCCTGGGTGGGGGGTGGTAAAAGTGTGCCAAAGAAAAATGACACACAGAGGACACATGTGGCCCAAAGTCCCATGTCTGAGTCTATGTGACCACTTCTGTCCCTGCTGAAGTTAAGGGTATCCATATGCTTTGCTTATTCCCCAGTAGGTTCTAGGTCCTGTCATGTAAGACACCAACACTCTCTTGTTTCTTTTCCTTCCTATTTTGAAATGGGGTCCCCATTGTTGCCAATATCCAACTCAAGTGATCCCTTCACCTCAGCCTTCCAAGTTCAAGCAGACACTAACTACCATGCCTGACTTCCAAACCTCCTTTTCAAGGTAGTCACCATCCAGTCTCCAATAGCAACAGAATCCATAATCAAGTTACGAAAATGCCACTGGGTTACCACAACTGCCCAAGTTCCCCCAAAGAAATAATTTCTGCTACAAGAATACAAGCAAAAACACTTACGCGTACTCATAAAGTGCAATGGCTGCTCTGTGTGCTTATCCCTTGGTTTCAGTGCCTACCTAAGGTGAGAGCTCAGTAAACCTGCCCATCCTCTCCTACGTTCAGACAAAACTCTTAGCATTCAAATACAGACAATTATCTTGGACCCGAGCTCACAGGAATACTAGAAGGCATTAATTTTGTCTGCATACTTCAACATATACACACTCAGCTCAGCAGAGCTGTGGGCACAGCTAAGGATCATTTTAACTCTGGTGTCCATTTCAGCACATTTTTTTTTTCTGGAACAAAAAGGTTGAGAACAATTATGTAGCCCATTCCCAAACCCTTCATGGGTATCAAGACTCAGAAGGATTCTCTGGCCTATTTGGGTCCTTTTCATTCATCAGACCTCAATCACCCATGCCAAGTAGGGTAGGCTAAAGAGAACACGATTGATTCACAGAGGGCTATGCCCTCCAATGGGAGGTAATATGGTAAAATGGAACAGTGGGACCCAAAGAGCCATCACAGGCAAAACCATCATGGCTGAGAGCACACGAATATAGGTGGGGAACTAGCTCTTTCTTATTTCAAGGTAACCAAGTTATCAAAGTTGCTAAACTTTTCCTGGCTTTTATCACTATGTTCTCATGAGGAAGTGAAAACTGTAAAGTTTTATGCCAGGTACCTCTTGTGTTCCCATTAATGGGAGTCACGTTTTATGAACTCAGGTCAGACCCATTAAAAGCAATAGATTTCCAATACCATCAAGACCCCAAGTCCTAGAACCAATTTCTGAGTTGCTGATTGCTGACATGGCAGCACACATGGCTCCCATGTCCAGCTCACTCCAGTTCTCCCTTAGTCGTCGATGAGATCACTCTGAGGAATGAGACTGAGCTGACTCAAGCAGTGTCTGGGCACGCAGAGGCCAGGCTCGGAAGCATCCAGCAGAGCCACACAGGCGGGCGGGCGGGCGGGCAGGGCAAAGATACACAGCGTACAAGAGAGGCACTGTCTGTCCTTCACTGTCTGAAGCAGCTCTCTCAGCATTCAGTTCTCCCACTACCAGGCAGGGGTAAGAAAATGAGCTTGCTTTGCTTGCCCCAAAATCAAATACAGTTTAAAAAAAAGAAAAATGGCCTTGAAAAGAAATCCGTATTTCACAAGGAGTCAACCCACAGAAGAGCAAATCACTCATAGTGAATTCTCATTAAAATAAGAATATTAAGTCCAAAGCCTCCTCCCCTTTAGCAAGCTACCATCCATAAGGAGTGATCTGGGGAAAAAGGCACTAAGGTTTCCCAAGACCTATACCAGGGTCTTGGTGTACAAACTGTACAACTGAGTTTACACTAAAATATACTAGGTATAAATTTCTGTAGAGACGCCTCCAAAATAGTGTATTCTGGGGCTTTTGTTGTTAGTGGTGGGCTTTGTTTTTGGGATGCCAGAAACTGAATCCCAGCCTGCACCTATGGGACAAACACTCACTGCCTCTGAAGCTCATTCCCACCCCTTCAGAAGCCTTACGTTCTTTGAAAAGGGACAAATTTTACCCTATTCATAATTCACAACGACAAAAAGGTTCCATTACACAGCTTCTTATACCCTGCAGCTCTAAACCACCGTGTCAGCCCAGATAGTGCTCAAGTATCATTTCTTCTCTATCACCTTCTACCAAGTGAGGTAGCTGTCACTTTAGGACAATTTAAGGCTATGGGGAACATTGGTTGAAATAACTAACTGGCCACCTGGAGAGGTGTCTCAGATGACATTTTGGATGCTAGCAGTAGAGCCTGGGGTCTTCCAAAGTTACATATTGAAAGCGGGTCTGAAGAAGCCCTAAGAGCGTCCTGAAAATACCATCTTCCTCCTCAATGATCCTAAGACAATGAGTCTGATGCTGTATTCCTGAGTGAGCACCGACCTCCCTGGCTGAAGGAATTACAAACATTACACACTTCCTCCAGTGCAGTGGTGAAGATCACAATGAAAGAACCAAGCAAACGGCAGAAACTTGAGAGTCTGTCCCTCACAAATAATCCTGTCAGTGTCTAAGAGATCTGCAAAGACAAAAGATTCTGAAGCTAACCTCACTGGAGAGGGCATCTCTACAGAAATGGACTGTAAGTAAGTACAGTAACCTCAGGGGAACGTGTCTGATGCCAACAGCTGAATGGGCAGCAGAGGCAGGAGTACACCTGAAGGAAGGTCTGTCCTCTGCCATGTCAAGTGTGGCAGCCACAAAACTAAAACTGTATACAAACAAACTTAACAGACGGTTGTTCAGGGCTTATACCTGACATGCTCTGAGAGCATGCTGGTGTGATGAGGGCTGTATGGGTAGAATGGGTATATAAAAAAGATATAAGGTTTTGTTTAGTTGGGGTGCTAGTGACCCAATCAGGGCCTTGCATACTGAACCAGTAAGCACTCTACCACTGAGCTACATCCCCAGACCTGGGACAATTTCCTGATTGTGTAGTAACTCAGAAGGTATGTGATCTGACTGGGGGGAGGGGTGTAAATAAGACTTCTCTGCCTAGCCATAATGTAGGAACCAAGGTAAAGGGGATATTTATTTATAAGAAACAAGACAAAAAAATTGACATGCCAGCCGGTGGTAGCACACTTGGGAGGCAGAAGCAGGTGGATCTCTGTGAGTTCCAGGCCAGTCTGCTATATAGAGCAAGTTCCAGGGTAGCAAGGGCTATGCAGAGAAACTGTGTCTCGAAAACCAAAAAAAGAAGAAAAAAAGAAGCTCGGTACAGCAATGTAGGCTTATCATTCCTGCAGTGAAAGGCTGAGGTGAAAGGCCCAGCCTGAGGCACACAGCAAGCACCCAGTCCAGAAGGAAAAGTAAAAACAGAAATGCCAGATGCAGAGGGAACCTGGAGCAGCCTGAGGCACACAGCAAGAGACGAGGAGGGAACCTCGGAAGGAGGCAGCGGCAAATCAGAAAATGAGACAAATTCTCAACTGTGCACACTCCACAGGAAAGGGGGCACACCATTCCCCCGTGAGAAAAGTCAGTGGTGAGAATCGGCAAGAGAAAAATGCCAATGTTAAATATAATAACAAGCTTAGGAAACTGAACCTACAGAAGGGCAGCAGACGCTCTCCTAAACACAAGCAAACTAAAAATCAGACTCGTGAGAATTCAAGGCTCAAGAGCAGCAGCTCCTGGGGTTTTTCATGGAATATCTATACCAATAAATATCTGGGGGTCAGTAGGGTTTGTACCCTGGAGCACTTATTGGTTCTAGAACATGAATTTCTTGCACTTAAAAAAATACATTTGTTTAAAAACCAAGATAGGTAGCAATCTATTTTTCTTCAATATTTAAATCATTAAGGATTACTATAAGGATCCGCTAAAATAGAAGCAGACAGAAGTAAAAAATGGCTCAGACTTATAGATTCCCTTTAAAAGATGTGGCCTCCATCTGAATGCATTACTGCACTTAATACTTTTTGAGGGTTTATCACAGAGACGTGTCACCAGAATTCAGCAAACTTTCACTGCATCCACCACTCTTTCCTGGAAGAGGACCAGCCTGAGGTACACACCAAAAGTACTGCCAGAGGGTAGCCCAGTCAGCCCCTCACTTCAGTAGGAGACCTGCACCTGCTCCACGCTGCTATAAAGCCTGGAAGAATCTCACAGCACTCACAACATGGACCACCCAGGCCTCATGGCAGTCTACATGAGAACAACGTACTGCCATTTAGGTCAGAAAACGGTTCTGTGTGAGAGAGGGGCACCCCGAGCCCCCCTCCCCCTCCTCCTCCTCGGAGGACGGCTCCTCATCCTGGGCAAAGATGCTCCCTAGTCCATACTCCTGCTCGTGAACAGAAACTTCATTGGGCGTGAGGTGGAACGAACCTTCCACAAAGTCAGCAAATCTGCAACAGAGAGGGATGTTTGTTAGGAAACGCATGTCCGTCCTCCTCGAATGGCTTTCAAAGTAACAACAGACTCAAAGTGAAAGGCTCAGCATGCTCGTAGTTCAAATTATACCAAATTGAACAAATTCCTGTCCTTGCTTTGGCAGATACATAAACTGAAGCAAGAAACAGGCAGGAGATGAAGTTGGGATCACAGGCCGACACACGGGCGCTGCGCTCTCACCCTGCTTGACTCTCACCATTGTCCTGCGTAGTTACGAAGTGCTAAGGTTCCTTGAGTCACTGCGTCCTGATAAGGTTGAGTATCACAGTTCTTTGCACTCTTATGGCCCTATAAACTTTATGCTATCATAATTCCAAATGGAAACTTCACATACTCTTTGTACAACTACTCCCAACCAAAGAGGGTGGAGGTGGGGACCCAGACATTAATGTCAAACTTTCAAGGGCCACACTAAAATATGGTACTGAAGTCTTCACAACTGAATGATATAATCAGAACCATGAGGTAGCTGCCTTGGAAAAACAGGAAATAGATTACTACTTTCTCTTGACTACTGCTCGCTCCCAGATGAGCAATAATCAAAGGGCAAAATACAGCACAGTTATCTAGAAGAATGATCTGTCAGACTCACGGTCGTTAACTACCCATAAAAACTTGGTTTATCAGAGTTTACCTTTTTGGAGACTGAATTCGCGATATGGTCTTCCAGGCAGAGCACTCCGGACTGCTACAAAATTCTCGGAGTTGCTGTAAAGCCCTTTGGGTCTCCACCTCTCCTTGTATCCGATACTCTTCTTCTGTCAGGAGGCGAGGGGGCACAGGCTTCTCTGCTCCCTTACACATCCTTCTGTGCTCACCAAAATAACACCATGAGTCACAGTCCGTACCCACCATCTCCACATGCACTGTCTCAGGAGACAACCACACCAGACAGACTCAGCAGCAACAGTCATCACCCCGTCTTTCTTCCACTAACACCTTTCACTACAGTGCACTCCTATCGTGACAAACATGAGTGAAAAGCCACAGTAGTCAAACTCACTTATTTTCAAATAAATGACAAACAAATAATTTATTTTCCAATGAGTGGAAAAGCAACAAAATGATGTGATAATGTTGTGGTTCATGACCTCAGCTCCCCAAACGGAAGGCACTGTTTTGATTATCTGCAATGGAATAGCTGCTGACCACTTCAGAACCTAGGGCCATTCCATATTTACTTTTGCAAGAATAGCATGCTATGAATTACATCTTAAATAAGATTGAGGTTTGTAGAGCAACCTGACAGTCGGTGTGACATGACCTGAAATCTGAACCTGAGGCCTTTTGAGGTACAAACCAAACAAAACACCGATATAATTTGCACCATCTAGTGGTAACAGCAACACATGACACTTTACTGGATGCTTTTATTTTATAAAAAAGAAAAAAGTAGTATCTCAACAAAGAAAGGAACAAGGGTGGAAGCAGGTGACGTCCCACTTATTGCAAAGTGCATCCCTCGCCCCACACGTCAAGGTGCCCGCCTGCCTGCCAGTCACCTGTAGGTCCAGCACAGCCAGTGGATCGGGTACTCCAGGTTCTTCGTGCACAGCGCAATGGCGATGAGAGCACAGGCGACGTGCGGGATCTGGATGCTGGAGTACATGAACCCCAGACCCAGCAGCTGCAGCGCCCAGGTCAGCAGGTTGATGCTTCGCTCATTCTCCAGGGGCCCATACTTGTAGCACACTGCAAAACTCATGAATCCAACTGTGAGGATGTAGCCTATGAGAAGGGGCATCACAGACACTGCTGTTCAACTACTGGGTGGAGAGCAGCGGGAAGCTCACTAGACACAACCTCTGAACCAGGAAATTAGACGCATCTGCACTCAATTATTCACCTATTCTAAATTCTCAGAAAATACATTTTCCTCACTGTTCTTCACATACATACATGTATCACCCACTGTTCTTCACGTACATACATGTATCACTGTTCTTCACATACATACATACATACATGTATCACACTTATCCTTTTTGTCACAAATTTATTGACTCAGATCACAAAGGGGATGAAGAAGTGGTTCCTAGGTTAAGAGTACTCAATGCTCCTCAGAGGACCCATGTTCCTTCCCAGCATGCACACTGGGCAGCACATGACTACTGTAAGCCCAGCTCCAGTGGATGGCCTATAGGCACCCACACTCTCCCCACACACATAAACTAAATCTTTGGTGGTGGTGGTGGTGGTAGTGGTTGGTTGGAGGTTTTTTGTTTTTTTAAGAAAGTGTTTCTTTGTATAGCCGTGGCTGTCCTTGAACTCTCTCTGTAGATCAGGCTGACTTCAAACTCGCAGAGATCCACCTGTCTTTGTCTCCCAGGTGCTAGAATTAACGCTATACACCACCACAGCTTAGCAAAACTAACTCTTTCTTAAAAGCTACTTGTTGAACATTTGTAAAATAGTCTATTTTAATCCTCAAATATAAATATCCACATTAATGTTCTCAAATAATAGATTGAGTTCCTATAAGAGAAAAAAGTTTTGTGTGACCAAAGGACTTTTAGTGCATACAGGATTCACTGCACTTGTACTTCTCACGGTTCCCAATCGTATTTAAATTAACATTCATAAAACCAATTTAAAAGTTTTTAAATTTTGCTTATTGTACAAAATAAACACCAGCAAATCCGAGTTTTGACCTTATCAACATGTCCGGGTTCGGATGATGTTAAGTGAGAGTGTATTAGAAGTAGGCAACAGGCAGTGGAGGCACTTGCCTTTAGTTCCAGCACTCTGGAGCCAAGGCAGGAGGATCTCTGTGAGCTTCAAGCCAGCCTGGTCTACAGAGTGAGTTCTAGGACAGCCAGGGCTAGGCAAAGAAACCCTGCATAGAGGGGTTCTCAAAAAAAGAAAAAGAAGAAAAAACTAGAAAATTGTAATTTCTACAAGTTAGTCAAATGCTATTAGCTACTAACTCCATGTTAGCAGGCAGCATCTTCTTACAATGAAATTAACCAAACAGCCTACAAACACACACAAAGGAAAGCTACACCATGGTACTTACTTAGAAGATAATGCCAATAACATCTCCATATCTCTTGTAAATTCTTAAAAACTAGCTGAATGAGGTACAGAGAAAAGGACCAGCCTCCTACCAGGATGACGTAAATGGGACTTCTCTAGACAAAGTAGAAATGAAAGCAAAAGTTACAAGGCTTTTATAGAAGAAGCAAATGGGACAGTTTTTTCTTAAAACTCAACCACTCAAAATGCATAAGAACTTATCACTTAAAAAGATGTGCTTTATACCTAAAAAGGTACAGTCTGCAAGGAACACCAAGATGATGAGATGCTAAACAACTGAAAAGCCTGGCTATGCATTAGAAACAAAGTGGCTTTCAGTTCCCACTGAGCACACAATTTCAGTAAGTTTGTAATCAGGCTTTAGGTCTATCTACCATGCAAGTGCTTTTCACAATCGAAGAACAGGACAGTCAGTCGATGACTCATCAGCCATCCTGACAAACGTTCAGTGCTCTAAGACTCCTCCAGAAGACAATCCAACCCTCCAGCTATCCAGGGTCATCCTAAACACTTAGGAGGGATCTGACTACTTACCTTGGGCATAAACTTAGAGATCATAAAAATGACAATTAAGAGAGAGGCCACGATTCCCACACTCATCCCAGTGGAATAGTAGAAAATCTGACTCCTGCAAAGAAAATATTTTACTTGACTATGTAGTGCCATAGGTCACACTGGTGAAATCACAAGTGCCCTAGCTGAAGTCTCAAGATTAGAGACACTCCAGCTGCTCACCTTACAGAGCTCGACACCACACTCCAGCTGCATACCTTACAGAGCTCGACACCACACTCCAG